TAGGAAACAAGAGTTTCAGAGCAAAATAAATGCGAAGATAATAGATAATGAAAATAAACGTTGCAAACGCCGAAATTGCAAATAGAAACCGTGTAAGCAAGAGTTTCATGAAACTCAATAATTGAAAAATCCCTTAAACGTAAAAGACGCATCAAATATTTTAAATCTAAACTATTAAGGAAAACTAGAGATCAATTTTTCCTTTGAAGTGGAAGACAGTCGAAAATCATCAATTATCCGATAATCCTTTAAATATTTATAAAATAAAATAATAAAACTTAAGGCTGCAATGGAATGTAGTCACCAGTCCCATAAATATATTGAATTATAAAAAGAGCGGAATTACCAACAAAAAGAGAAACGGAAAAAAGAAATTGAAAGATGTAAAGCTATGAATAAAATTTGAGAAAATGCTTTGGAGAAATGCTATGGCCAATAAGTACGAGATTAATTCAAAACTAAACAAAACCGGAAACATTAAAAGCAGTTTAAAATGTTTATCTAACTAAAGTAGAACTCTGATTGTCGACAAAAAATGAAATGAGACATAATTAATTATTAATACAATTAAAGGGGTATAACAACGCATAAAAGTTGCAGAAGACTTACGGGGTAATTATAAAATAGACAAGTTAAAATAAACGTAAATATTATAAAAACTGATGCATTCACAAAGAAAAAGTAAAAAGTATTGTTCTTGAAGACAGAAGGAAATCTAAAAGCAATCGATATTCATTCCTACGGTAGTTTAATCAGTGTCATTAAATATCATAAGTCAGAAATACCAGTAGTAAAGTGATTACGAAAGAAAACTATCAAAACCATCACTTGAAAATAGTGCAGACGAAAATAAACTGCCAAACAAGAAATAAATGATTTAATCGGTGAAATAACGAAATCATTAGACGTAGAAACACGTATGAAAAGGTGCAGATAATTGATAAATTCATAAACAGAAATCTGAGATGAAAAAGAAGAAATTTGGGTTAAGAGGGTGATATTAAAAAATGAAGTACTTAATCCCAAGTAACTTTGCTTGTAAAAATTACAGTTACAGAAAAACAGCTGGGAAAAGTTTGAAATAAATATTGAGGAATGAAACGATCAGCTAAAATGTCGGAATCAGGAAAGAGCTGAAAACACAACTCTTTTTGAAAAATCTAGGAAATAAAGCAAAATTTTGCCTGAGAACGTAAATTAAGTAAATTAGCTAGATACAAGTCAAAGTTCTAAATAAAAACCATAAAAAAAGAACCTAATTAACATTAAATTAGTCTTCAAATGATTAAAATAGCCCCCATTTACCAGAATGTTGCTAATATACTGTTGTGTCTTGAACACATCGAGCAAGATCAGTACTGCCGCTTCTGATTGAATTAGACGCAAAGTGAAGACCAGATCGGGCGTTTGGAATTGAAAAAATGTAAATATTCACCTCGACTTGACCGCGGTTCTTCAGTTCAAACGGCACGATATTTACTTTTGAAAAAACCGACTGCCAGCGGGGGTTTTAGCAGTTTGATGTTGCTCCATCTCGTCTGCATGATAAATCATCCTTCAACCTTAACCCTTCCGTCATGGAAAACGATTAAGTTAAAAAAATCGAGAACAATCACATTGGAGATGTTACTTTTAATGGGCTATTTATTTGATGGAGGTGATGGAACAGAACAAGAAGATATTGATGAAGAACAAGAAACTGGAAGAAGAAACAGTGATATGCACTGGAGGAACAAAACTTTGGCCTCTAAGTTGATTTTATCTTCGCATTTTTGGGTCCAAAATGAAATAGAGATTGCAACGACTTTGCTAAAATCAGTAGCAATTGACAGTGAAACTATTTCAAGCTTCAACAGGAAAATATAAAAAAATTAATGGCTGATGTGGTTGATATAATATGGAATTATTTTAATTTTAAAACTATAAAATGAAGAACAGCAAGAAAATAGCACCAAGGCACCCGAAAAGAAAGGAAAAAGACAAGGAACTTTTTTTAAGCAAAAATGAGAAATTTTGTGTTTTAATTTAATTGGAAAGCAAAGAACACGAACGAAATCCGACAGGGAAAAAATGCGAAAAAGAAAAACTCGAGAAAAATCTGCCAATAACCGGATTAAACACCTATTCAGCACATAAAAAATCGTTGAAATGAGCAGTGAAATTAAGAATCACTAATATCGATTCGAGGAAAGCAGGTGATGGTGCCAAAATAAGGTGAGGGAAAAGATAATATTTTGAGTGCAAAATGATTTAAAAGAAAAAACACAAATAATTCGTTTTACACGTTCCAAATCCTTTTTCGTTTTATATCGAGAGTAAAGCACCATTTCTCAAAATAAATGCAACTACCGGTGCTTGAAGTGTGTGAAACTCACGCAATAAGCAAATAAAACAATACATAATTAAAATCAAACAATATGCAAAGAAAACCTGTGGAAAAATCCTCGCTAGAGATATTTTAAAATCGCTCGCGTATTATAGCGATGTTCACCCAATTATTATGCCCAAACAAAGCTTCGATTCCAATCCTAGTGTTCGGGTAATTAATATGCAGCCCGCAAAAATAAATAATGGAAAGTGGGAACCACCCTTAAAATAATGGAAATTTCAGCGGCCCCCGGCCAAACAGTTAACTCAGTTAATAAAGTTTCCAAATAAACTTGGAGAATCAATAAAGTGGAAACTTGCTAACGATGAACGTGAAGGGGGGGGGGGTCCCCTCTTGGAACTAATTAAAGGGACGTAGTGTTGAAGTGGGGTTAGTGTCACGATGCCACTCAACCCTTTTGAGGTTCGCTTTTCGATGAAAACCGGTTTGAGGGATGTATTTTTTCCGGTATCTGCAAACACCAGAACACGAACAACGTATGGGACCATTCGCTAGATACACAAATGGTAATTGCGCACGTACCTTTGTGCGTTTCACTATAAAATAGTGACAGAGGTTTCTTAAATGGCGTTGGAAAAAGTGCTAAATTAAGGCCCCGTCACGGCTCGTAATTATTTAGCATTATCGCGATATGACTAATGTCCCCACACACGACTACAGAGGCTCATATATCACCTGAACGCTTGACATTGTAGCTGGACCATCGAGTTACTACATCTGCCACTGCGAATTGTTTTGCAAATTGGCCACAATAATGTGTTGCAGTTGAACTAAATAGTAAACCATTTAAATGAAGGTTGCTGGGACTCTTATTACGAGAACAGCGAATTTGGAATTTTAATAAAAAAAAAATAGAAGCGTAACAGGAAGGCAAGAAAATCGTGATGGATGCAAACAAGTCAATAAACAACTTGAACCAGACAGGAAGGTGGTTCCAAGGAATTAAAACTCGATGGTGGAAAAAGGTGGATAAAGTTTCCAACAGAAATTATGAAGAATTTAAAAATAAGTGAAAAAAGGTAACAGTAATTGCAACGGGAGCAAAGAAGAATAGTCAGATAGAGTTTTAAATTGTCATAAACAATAAGCATTTAAGAGGAAAGTCGAAATTTTAAAACAACACGAGGAAAAACAAGAAATCTTTGCAAATAATATTTCTTGGCAAGGAACAGCGGCAAAAAAGTTATAACAAAACAGAGAACACCGATCAAAATGACATTCAAATAATGAAATGAATGAAGAAATTAAATCACGTATATACTTATATGTAGGAAAGAAGAAGAAATCTCGTATGACTGGGAACTATGAAAACAAATGATGTAATCGATTGAAAACATCGATCATATACTACAACAGTCGTAAGACGGATTTAAGTGAAGAAGAAGTAGTGGGGGAGATCGGGTATAATTGTAAGAACCCAGATCTTCCAAGTCTGCAATAAACAATTTACGTAGAAACGAGTACATTTGAAACATTTTACATTTATATGCCAGTAAATTATAGTATTTTTCTAATATTTTTCTGCGACTATGACCCGATAAAGAATTAGGGAAATCATTTTCCAGTGCTGCAAAATATTCGGCCACTTTACTCACCAAAGACGCGGAAAAACCCTAGAAAAATAACCAATTTTACGAAAACAGTAGTCGAACTCGGTGAATTTTTATTTTCAGACAGAGCACAAAAAAGTTCATACAAAAAGAAAAGATAAATGAGACAAACACCGATCAAACCAAGTAGCATAAAACATGTTGGGGAGTTCAAGCGATGAAACTGAACATTAACTGTGCCCCCATTGTCCTGAAACTTACACCAAAAGCGGAGGGATTCACTGTAATGTAATGCACAAAGTAAGCTCATGAAAAATTTACTCATAAATTGCGATAGTGATGACGATATGAATGACCGATTTTTTCAGATACTAAATCGAAGCGATTGGTCGTTGTACAACACGGATTTTTCAAAAATTATCCAAGGGAAAACCAAAAATTCCTGATTGCGGCCCATAACATCGCTCGAAAGAGAAAATCGGCTGCTTTAAGAGAGGAAAAACTCACTTGAATAGGAAATTTCTGAGAGTTTCCAGTATTTTTTCAGTTACTAAGGCGAGGCGATTGGCCATTGGAAAGGCGAATTTTTGAAAAATTTTACAAAAAACCCCAAAAATTCCACAATCTGGCACATAATATCACTCCCAAGAGAAAATGCCCAGCTTTAAGTGTGGAAAACCACACTTTAATAGGAAATTTCTGGGAGTTTCCAGGATTTTTTCGGATACTAACTCGAAGGGATTGGTCGTAGGGCGACACCGATTTTTTAAAAATTCGCTAAGGTAAAACCAAAAATCCCTTAATCCGGCCCATAATATAACTCCAAAGAGAAAATCCGCTGCTTTCTCTGAAGAAAAACGCACTTGATTAGGAAATTTCTGAGCTTCCAGTAGTTTTTCAGTTATACTAAGGTAAGGCTGTTGGAAAACACGAATTTTTCAAATAAAAAAAAAGCCAAATATTCCACGACCTAGCTCATAATATCACTCAAAAGAGAAAATAGGCAGATTTAAGCGTGTAAAAATGCAGTTTAATAGGAAATGTCTGGGAGTTTTCCGGATTTTTTCGGTTGCTAAATCGAAGCGATTGGTCCTTGGACGACACCGATTTTTAAAAAACTCACCAAGTAAAAAAAAGATCGCTCAATTTGGCCCATAACAAAGCGAAAATCCGCTACTTTAAGTGAGAAAAAACTCATATTAATAGGATTTTTTTTCAGTTACGAAGAGCTAGATTAATCTTATCTGACTTTTATTAAGAAAAACTTTCCAAAATCATTGCTACCTTGGTGAACTTCTAATCACGTACCAAAATGGTATTGTTGCATAAGGAAGATTCACTCCCAATGTTTAAATGATTATTTAATGTTTTTTGGTCTCTCCAAAAAGTTTTCCAACTTAGAATTATTCTATCTAATGGCTCGCGATTAAGCGCACAAAATAACAAAAACATGTTTCTTAAATGAAAATTTGTGTAGTTTCTGTAGAAAAACTGTGCTCTCAGCATACACAAAGCCTAAAACGCTGTAGGTGTTAATAACTAAGTAAAAGAAGAATAAACTAAGTACGTTATAAAAATCAAACGCTTTCCCAGATGAATAGCATGGAAAAATGTATCGAAAAGTTCCTTTCCCATTTACACTCATAATTACACACTTGAACACATTTAGATTACCTCAGTGTGATTACAGCAAAATTATTTTTTGGCCTTATTATCAGCGTATGAACTAAAGTGTTCCCACAAAACAAAGTAAATGTATCTTAAAAGAAAGTCTTCAGGTTAGAACATCGTTGGTGGAACCCTTCAGTTGCGATATTGCACTTGATGGAGGTGGGTATCCACTTTCGTTCGTCCCACGTGTGGGATTTGATGTAGAACAATTGATCTCTACTTAACTCGTATTCAAATAGTAGGTGGGGTGTTTTTAGCGTGCTTCTATATGGCTTTTGTCATGCAAATGTCGTACCACGCGAATTACGGTTGGTATTCGAAAACTGTCCATTAGCTTAAAAACTGTTTGATGTACGGATCAATAATTTCTCAAACGCTAAATAACAAAAAGACAATATAAAATTGAATCTACTACTAGTAAATCACAACTTGAGGTCTGTAATAGTTGCAAGAAATTAACTGGTATAAAATCAGGTAAACGTGCAGGCCACCAGAGTCTACTGTAGGTATCAGTGATCAGTTGTGCTGTTAATGAGTTTTTCAGCTTCTCTAATTCCCAATTTTTTCAAGTAAATTTGTATATTTGGCTTTGTATATATTATAAATTTTTTAAGCACTTAAATGCAGTCAAATGCTCCTACAGTTTCCTATATCGTGCAATAAGCTTCATATGTCCCAAGAAAATATAATCCTCAATTACCTTCAGAATTACTGTTTTTTAGTCCCGTTTCTTCCTGTTACGGCCTTGAACAAGAGCTTCTGTAGGACTCATTTATAGCGTTTGTAAAAGTTACATTTAAAGAGATGGTATATGATGCTTCTCATACGTGTTCCCGAAGTACAGTGTCATATGCCTTTGTGAGATCTACAAATAATTCGTGAAATTTATTAAGGAGAGCGACTAGTTTTTATTTCCTATGAGTTATTTTATTATGCCGTGTTACTTTTAATGTGTATGGTTGCAGGATTTTGCTCTGTTTTCTTGATGTTGATGTTTCTCAATACTGATGAAAACTTTTAATTGAAAAGCCATAGTGGAAGTCGATTTTTTCTCATATCTCACAAGCACGAATGTTGCATCTTCAGAGGTGTTCCACTCGAAAACTTGTGCTGAATTGTGCGTTTATGAACCAAATCAGCAGTACACAAACGCTGGATCTCTCTCACACACAATACATTTTAATTGCTTTTAAATTGATTGCAGGTTCAATACCGCCAAACAACCCATACTAATGAAGTACTCAAAAGCGCGATCAGCGCTGAAACAAATGCAGTAAATCTGTTCTTAAATCAAAACTTTGTTTTGGCTGGACGAGGCAGAAGCAGAGTGTTGTGTGGATGCTCGCAAGAGCGCATAGAGCACGATCGTGTGGACCAGATTAAATAATAATTGAACGTTAGCGTGAGTCGGTAGATTATTTTACTCATTCAACTTTATTTTCGTGACTGGCACTTTGCTTGCCATTTTTTAGGAATTTATTACATCGTAAATACCAAGCATTTTGTATTATATTGGTTTCTCGGAATCAGAATATTAAAATTATGTTTTGGAAGCATTTATGTATTAAATATCACATGTGCAAAAGAAATATCGGCTAAAATGCACAATTTAAAAAGTGGAAACCCATTCAATTTTCGTCACGAACTTTACAAGGTTACACTGCTTAATTTTCGAAATTCGACCACAAAAACACATGCAAATTACGATAATGTGAATGCCACAAATAGCAACAAGGATAAAAACGTAGACATTAAAAAAAACCGGCGACAAAACTGACATTATCGTTTCACCAGCTGAACATTAAAATTTATAATAAATGTTTTAATGGCTAAACCAAATGAAACACTCCATGTCACTGCTCGCTTTAAGCTTTAAGTTATTTTGTAATAAGCTGCTGGTTTGTCTGGATTTACTTGTGCAAATTACATGTACATATTTATTTGCTTCTAGTAGTCTCTCTTGTTGTTTATTTATTTATAGTGTGCCAAATAAAAATTCAACTTAAAAGTACGTAACCTACTTTTAAACCATTTGTACAGTAGAACTGCCCCTCTTAAATCGGCCACCCTGTATTTTATTGCGACTGACAATTTTCAGCTGATTTTTGCAAGAGTAAGTTTCTGTTTGAGAAATGTCTTTTGGCAGTCAAAGGGGAGTCGAACTCGCTTTCCCCATTCTCCTTTATATGGAATGCGACCCGTAAAAACAAATAGTAGTTTTAGTCGTAATAATAGAAGTTTTCGAATTTTGTTTTTATCATTATTTTTAATTTCTCTGTGCACAGCAATATGTTTTTAAAAATATATACGAGTATATATTACTATCACAAATATTGTTTGATATATTTTTCGACATCCAATTAAAAAAAACTTTTTATTTAAGCAACCTCACAACACATTTCTTAACAAATTCTATTGCGCAGAAAACTAAGTCCCTTATTGTTTTGCGGCAGTTTTTTTCAAATTCTTTCACACATTTGCATTTTTTGGATATTTGACACAAAATCAATCTGTAGGACGTTTCGGATAGTAAAACAAGAAAAGATCTAGATAATTTTCTATGTTCAAAGAAAAGCTTCTGTTTGCTTAAAATTATAATATATTTTTTAATATCTGTAAACAGGGGTGATTTACATTGATGATGATGAAAAATGCTGTTAAAATATATTTATATTTCACTGCGTCACTAAATAACATTTAATATTCAAAATGCAAAATTTTGAATTTTCTTTCACATATTTGTTCTTTTTTGGATATTTAACGGAAAATAAATCTGTACGACGTTTCGGATAGTGAAACAGGAAAAGATCTAGATAATTTTCTCTATTCCAAGGAAAACTGCTGTTTGCTTAAAATTATAATATATTTTTTTAATATCTGCGAACAGGGGTAATTCACATTCGTGATGAGAAAAAAATACTCGTGTTTCACTGAGTTACTAAATAACATTTAATATTCAAAGGTAAAGCTTTGAATTTTCTTTCGCACATTTGTTGGTTTTTTTGGATATTCAACACAAAATAAATCTGTACGACGTTTCGGATAGTGAAACACGAAAAGATCTAGATAATTCCCTCTATTCAAAGGAAAGCTGCTGTTTGCGTAAAATTATAATATATTTTTTAATATCTGTAAACAGGCGTAATTTACATTGGTGATGAGGAAAAATACTGTTAAAATATACTCGTGTTTCACTGCGTAACTAAATAACATTTAATATTCAAAAGGCAATATTTTGAATTTTCTTTTCACACATTTGTTTTTTTTTTGATAATCAACATAAAAAAAATCTTTACGACGTTTTGGATAGTGAAACACGAAAAGTTTCGGATAATTTCATCTATTCAAAGAAAAGCTCCTGTTTGCTTAAAATTATAATATATTTTTTAATATATGTAAACAGGGGTAATTTACATTGGTGATGATGAAAAATTCTGTTAAAATATATTTATATTTCACTGCGTCACTAAATAACATTTAATATTCAAAATGCAAAATTTTGAATTTCCTTGCGCACATTTGTTCTTTATTTGGATGTTCAACAAAAAATAAATCTGTACGACGTTTCGGATAGTGAAACACGAACAGTTCTACATAATTTTCTCTATTCCAAGGAAAGCTTCTGTTTGCTTAAATGTATAATACATTTTTCAATGTCTGCAAACAGGAGCTATTTTACATTGGCGACGGTGAAAACTTCTGTTATTTTGAGACCAAATTCCCTTGCATACCCAGTATCTCCTTGAAGTAATTTTTCAAAAATAACTAACAAACAATCCCTTTAACATGCTATGTGTTGTAAATAAGATTTAATATTCAAAAGGTAAAATTCCAAAAATTTGGGCCAGTAAACAAGAATGTGAAAGGCGAATATCAAACGCATAAACAGAGCACGGTGATAATAAATTCCTGACACCCATTAACCAACATTAATTTTAAAATATAATCTAACATACTCAACTTCTCATAAGCGTTATGATGTCCCAAATGGAAAAAAGGCATTTATGCCTTGAAAAACAATTCCTATCAGAATCTTTTATGTTTATGGCTGTTTTTAAAAGTTGCCTCAAGGGCTTTATCTTTATTGAGATACAAAAGTGGGGTGCGTAGTTCGTAGCAGTTTTTTGATAACTCACGTTTCGACTAGACTTCATAAAGTTGGGCGCAGATTACCGAGCGATATGTGAGCAGATTTACTCAATAAAGCAATTTGATAAATCGCGGTCTGTCGCTTCTGAGAAAGATCTGAGATCAAGAAACAGATTAAATCGTCCATGGTGCCATGGAGCAAATCAATTTTAAAACTGAATTTCATTAGGAAACAATTCCAAGATTTGATTCAGTAATACAGGAAGTCGCTTCTGTGGGCATTGTGTGTTTTATGAAAGTGGGAAGCATACATTGAGTTTGTTATGGAGATGTAGTAATTTCTTTTTTAAATTTAGATCTCGTGCTGCGATTATATGGTAATGATCCCAGAAAGCGTATGGGTTGAATATTTCACCGTCTGTTTGTTTAAAACGCCACGACAACTGAAAAAATAACCTTAGAAAGTCCTAATTGTAGTTGACCACGTTTTGAATGAGCGATTGAGCCATTTCAATGCCCTTTTAGTTGGCGTGCTCAAACAGGGCGGTTAATCGGCTTAAACCCCCCAAGGAAATCCCTTTTACCTGAACGTATTGTTGATACTACTAAAATACTTCCTGAAATACCTGCAGATAACTTAAGCCTACAAATCTATATCCTGAAGATGTATTTTCCATTAGGAACGCTCACTGATTACATCTACAATGTATTTTATCTGCAATGACCAGAACGATCGACATTCAGTTTCCTTTTGCGTCCACTCGTTCCAATAACACGCCACATTTCCTCGAAACCTTCAATAATTCGGAATAAAACCATGTTTATTAACAGCCATAACCACCCAAACATAAAATCTAAAATTTATATTTATTGTGCTTACATTTTCTTCAACCGTTTCACGTTTCTCACTTAACAGCTTCCAAAATTACCAAATTTAAAGCAGTTTCTTGGAATGACGGTCATTCCCAAGTTGTTAAATTTGTCAACAATTTATAATCCGGCCATTTCGGCCCAGTCAGTTCCAACATTCAAATTAAGCAATGAAATCACTTTTTATTTATTAAAAGCTGGTTTATGCAATGTGAAACTGTTTTAATCACTATAAAGTTTTGAAGAGACTTTAGTTAGATGCATATTTTTAGTTGAACAAGGCAAAAATGAGTAATTTGGTATCGGTAAGAATCATGCGAAAGGCCCTAAAAATATAAAAGGGAATAAAAACGTACTCCCAATTTGCCAATTTAAGCCACGACTTAAAAACAAGCTACTTTAAGAAATGAATGTGAAGACACGAATCGTACTTAATTCGGTTTGTTTTTCTAAGTTTTGTACATAGTAAACTCCACCCATTGCGCGTCTAAGAATTAAAATACTTTATGCACAAAATATTGCTGCTCGAATATTATGTTGTTTATACAACAAAAAGCATGCCAAATTTTAAAAATAAATAAATCCAATAATCTTCAATTTTAACAAAAGAATTTTGTCTTTAATAACCTATAACAATTTTGCTCGCGAAACATGCATGAAACAATTTTAATCAAAGTGCACAAATAAATATGTAGTACTCAACTAAGGAAAAGTAAGATCAGATAAAGAAAAGACAAAAATGTATAACACCAAATCCATAGCTCGATATATTCAGAAACAGAACAAACTCAAAATTGTAAGTATGAATAAGATAAACAACATTACAATCGTTTCAGAATTTTTCCGGTTATAATTAAAGCTGATAATTATTGAAATAGAATGAATGGAACGTTTTCAAATACGAAT